TTTATTATTATTATTTATTTTATTATTTAATTAAATTAGTTATTTAGTTCGTAATAGTTAATACTTTCTATCTCTCTCTCTCTCTCTCTCTCTCTCTCTCTCTCTCTCTCATCATATATTATAGTTTTCAGAGAACTATCCCTTGTGCAAAACTTGTTTAATTACAATAGGATTATTTACTCCGACACAGTATTTAGTTTTTAAATAATATTTTAATTAAAAAATAATATTTGTTATAATAATTATATTTATCAATTTTATTAATTTTATATTATTGTAATGTCGAAAAACTTTCTCTTGTATAAAACTGTTTGATCATAATAGAATTATTTTACTCCTATTTGATATCTTCCATTTCAACCCTCGATAAGAAAATACCTATTTATAAAATTTCAAAAGAACGAGATTCCTAAATTCTATCGATATTATCGAAGCATCGTTATTCAAGACCGTGTTTACCTTCGGAGAGATCTCATCCCTTGAAATTTCCTACCAATGCGACTTTTGCCGTACCCTCGGGAATGGCATTTCCAACGTAGTCGCAGGTCTCAGCTGTCGGTGGCGTTCGCGGGGCGAGGTTTTCTAGGGGGTTTGGGCGGCGGCGGGGGTGACGAGGCAAGAGGGCGGATGACAGGGGGAGGGTATATGTGCAGAACGGCCCTTCCGACCCCTCGCGGCGTACGGCGGTACGTACCGTAGGAGAATCGATCTAAAACTAGGAGTCGCCGCAGTAACCGCTGGGAGGAAGCCAGTGTTACAATTCGCGGGGGCTTCCGTCGTATGCGCCAGTGAAATCTTAGACACACGCCGGTTAATCGCACATACGCACGGCACAATCGTCGGACTAGATACGTCCACGTCGACGGACGTACGTACGTCGTCGCAGCCCCTGCTTGTCGCTCCTCTCGCCATTCACTCGCCCTCTCTCTCGCACCGTCTGTCCTGGTGGCAAGGCAGCACAGGGGCGGCCGGTCGGGGGCGACAGTACTTTAATCGCGGGATAACGGAGGGTGTTGTGCGCTCCTCGCTCTC